AACTAAGAATTCTTTACTCACTCAGAATTCAAAGTGCTAGGATTGAGACAGTGACTGGGCAAATCTGCCTTGGATGCCTGCCCCTGGCTATTCTGGGGAGAAGAAAGGCTCTGCTCCCCTGGTTTCTGGGTGAGCGGGCACTGCCTTCCTACAAGACTGCACACAACAGGAAATACCTCAGTGGGGTCATCAACAAGTGACAAGTATCCAGTACCTAGAGAGTGAGTTATGTCATTGATTTATGTTCTTTCCAGTATCTCATTACTATTAAAAAGCTTCAATAAACATCTTTGTCATTTTTTTGTTTCTTAGACATGAAATTACTGGATCAGCAGATGTGAATAATTTTAAGGTTTTTGATTAAACTGTCCAATTTCTTTCTCCAACAATGGTAACAATTTCTAGCCTCGCTAGCCCTAATAAGAGAGGACCCATCTGCCTTTCCCGCTTTGCTTATTTTATAACAGAGGTAGTATCTCATTGTTGTTTTAGTTTAAATTTTAAAAAATGCCCACGGATAAGCAATCATCTATATATAATCTAAGCTAATAGTCACAACATTTTGTAAGGTAGATATCAATCTCCATTTCACAAATGAAAAAATCGAAGGTTAAGAAAGATGAAACTACCTTCTCTCTGTCCTTTAGTCAGGAAAGGATGTGGATTTAAATCCCGGTTTTTGTGACTCTAAAGCCCTTGTTCTTAACTACAGCCTTTGTTCACAGAAGATACGTATATTTGACTAAATACATAAATGAAAATATCTGAAGATCAAAAACAGATGTAGTTGGAGTTTCCCAAAGAGTGTTCCAAGGAACATGAGACTTTTAATATTCTTTGGGACAAAAATCAGTTCAATGTTAAAAAAGTTGGGAGACACTGGATAACATTTCTCCTCTTGGAGACTCATAGCAAAAGTTGGGATAGTTAAGGCCTTGAGAAGTCTTACAGCAAAGAAACTGTTTGACTCTATTTAACATTCCAGAGAAGTAGTGTTCCAAAGAGCATGTTTTGGGAGGTTCTGCCAAGCATTGTGCCTCTTATTTTTGTTTCATGTTTTATTGCATTGGCCTAGACAGTGGTAAATGATATTGGTGACAGTGAGTATTTTATTGTCCCTTGATTTGATGAGAATGTTCCTAGTACTTCATCATTAAGTATTATGTTGGCTGTGAGTTTAAGATAGACACAGATATTATTGTCTCAAATAAGAATACTTTGTTTCTTATTTTCTTGCTTAAAGAAGCAGAAATGGATAGTGAATATGAAGGAATCAGCTTATCAGACAAGGGGAAAATCCAGTGGTAGGCTATTCATTCAGTAAATAGACAGTATTTTTGATGGACTAGGGATAATTTCCAGTGCTCCTTCAAAAACACTGATGGCTGGGGAAAAGCACTTGCATTTTCTCCCAGAAGTATAGTGTTTTTTTATTAAAGATGGGGTCTCACTCTGCACACCAGGTTGTAGTGCAGCCACATAATCATAAATCACTGCATCCTCAAAATCCTGGGCTCAAGTGATCCTCCTGCCTCAGTCTCTTAAGTGCCGAGATTACAGGTGTGTGTAACCATGCCTGTCTTAGAAGGGTGGTATTTGGATATATTTGTCACTGATATGGTTTGGCTATGTCCCCACCCAAATCTCATCTTGAATTCCCGCATGTTGTGGGAGGGACCTAGTGCGAGGTAAATGAATTGTGGGGGCAGGTCCTTCTTGTGCTGTTCTCCTGAGAGTAAGTCTCACGAGATCTGATGGCTTTATAAGAGGGAGTTTCCCCACACAAGTGTGCTCTCTTTGCCTGTTGCTATCCATGTAAGACGTGACTTGCTCCTCCTTGTCATTTGCCATGATTGCAAGGCTTCCCCCACCATGTGGAACTGTAAGTCTGTTAAATCTCTTTCTTTTGCGAATTGCCCAGTCTTGGGTATGTCTTTTTCAGTAGCATGAAAATGGACTAATACAGTCACCTTTACTTTAGGCTAGAGAATGGGGTGGCATTTCTTTTTCTTTTTCTTTTTTCTTTTTTTTTCTTTTTTTGAGCTGGAGCCTTGCTCTGTCATCCAGGCTGGAGTGCAGTGGTGTGATCTCTGCTTACTGCAAGCTCCGCCTTCTGGGTTCACGCCATTCTCCTGCCTCAGCCTCCCGAGTAGCTGGGACTACAGGCGTCCGGGGGTGGCATTTCTTTGTTCACCATTCATTCAGCAAATATGTTTTGAGTGCCTACCAGGTGCCAGGCCCAGTTTTGGGTGCTGTGTCTCTAACATACTACATGGTGGTGCCTAATAGATATTGTCAGTTGAAACCGAGTTTTAAAGAGTTGGCCTTGATGAGGGGCTATTTGCCTGTCCCCATACCAAGAGGACTAATAATGTGGGGGATGTTCGGCCTCTGCTCCCTTCCTTTCTTATCCTTCTCTCTCCTCCTCCCTCTTCTCACCTTAGCCATGTTGAGTGTCTGCTGGGCACAGCCGTGGGGCTCTGGACAAGCATCTTTCCCTGAAAGATGTACCCTTTAACCTGGCCCAACCCTGGCCTAGATATGGCCTAAGTACCCAAAATAGAACCGGCCTGGGAGTTTTTACTACTCTGGACACAAGACTTTGCTTTCGGCCAAAAAAGTCCTTGAAGATGGACTTGGTGGTCCTTGGGGGGAACTGCCCAATGAATGATTGCATTGAAGCTTTGGGAACCATTTTTCCTCCAACAATTTCCCTGTCTACAAGTTTATGAGGCAGTAAATAGCCCCTGTGTGCATAATGAATGCTGACATCATAGTCCATGGCACTTACAAACAGCGGGCTGGCCTGCGCTTTTACTAGCAGTGCAGCCTGGGGCGGAAAACTGCCCTAGCCCGTCCAGCGTTCTATTATAGACCTTCCTATAAAACCTCCCCTGGCCTTCCCTGTCTCAGCAAAGATGCTTTTTCAGGGTCCAAGTAATTTCCTCTCCCCTCTCCTCGAGGACTGTCAGAATGCAATGCAGTCGGATTACGCAAAGCCTGGGTCATCCTCAGTTTGTTGACTGTGGGTGCCAAACGTGGTTTTCAGGAGATCTGCGTAGTCCTCATCTACAGAGGGTGACAGAATATGAGCACGTTTCTCAGGTCTCTGTGGCAACGCCTGGCGACTTCTACCTTCTTTCTTGCCATTCATCCTGACCTGGAACCTGTGAAGTTTTGGCAATTTCATTTGAGTGAGTGAAGCAAATATATTGAAAAATAGGTGAGGGAGGAGGGGCTGGAAATTGGGGATGAAGTATTAGTTCTTAATGTGTCTCCTTTGGTCAAGTTGAAAAGATTTCAAAGAAACTAAGACAGAAAAGTGATACTTTTCCTGTGAGTGGAGGAAGCTTCATTTTAGAAGCAAATAGTAAGGAAGGCACAGAGAGGGCTGGTGTGTTCTGATTTTTACCTTGGAGCTTCGTTTTCCTGTCCCCGAGGGTCTCTGGCACATGGATGGAGAGGCCTGATGACGGGTTACAGTTTATGACACTAGGTCTTATTGGTATCTACGAGGCATTCACGATCCATCTGGCTTAATTATTATAACTTAAGGGGGATCAGGGGAATCATTTTATGGTTCCACTGCATGGGGTGGACCATCGGTCACAAAATGTCTAACAATTACCAGTAAACTGCTTAGAATATAAACATTGGTTTATTGGGGAGTGAGCATAAATTCTCCCTGTTTCTCTTTTCCAACTTGAGAGTGCTTCTCATTTAACATATTATGCAGAAGGCCTGTGTTTTACAATTCCAAGATTGTACTATCTTCCTCTTAAACTAGAAGATGTGGCTGAGCATGGTAGCTCGTGCCTGTAAATCCCGGCACTTTGCGAGGCTGAGCGGGGAGGATCACTTGAGTCCAGGAGTTTGAGACAAGCCTGGGTAACATAGCCACATCCCATCTCTACAGAGAATTTTAAAAAGTTAGCTGGGCATGATGGCGTGTGTCTGTAGTCCCAGCTACTTGGGAGGCTGAGGTAAGAAGATCACTTGAGCCTGGGCAGTTGAGGCTGCAGTGAGCCAAGGTTGTGCCACTGCACTCCAGGCTGGGTGGCAGAGCCCCTGTCTCAAAAATAAATAAATAAATAAATAAATAAAAGATAAATAAAACGGAAGATGTCTGCCCTAGGGACCATCCTTTAAGGAGACTGCTGTGAGTGGAGGATCATCCTTTAAGGAGACGTCGGTGAGGTGTGGATGGCTGGTGGGCTAGCTCAGGGCTCACTTTCATCAGAAGTGGAAGGGGTGGGGATGGGCATTGGAACCTCAGGACGCTCTCTTCCCCCAGTGGACTGAGCCATCTGTGGGTTGGCCTGGGCTGGGCCATGTCTTGTGCACCTGGTTTTCTCAGAGATGAACATCTTCCAGGGTGAGGGGTCACTGGTGTTGGGCTTCCACCACCCAAGGGACAGCCTGGAGGGGTCTGCTCCCTCTTTAGGTCTTTAGTATTTGGCAACTGATGACACAACCGGTGCTTTTTCCTCTAGAGTCTTCTCTGTTCTCTGGACACCCTCATTTTTGCTTCAAATCTCTCTCATGTAAAAAGCTTCTTTAAAAAACTCTTAGGTTTTCCTGTTTTGATTTTGAGTGAACACTGCTTCTTTAGGCTTGTTATTCCAAGGCCTAGAGCTGACCTCTTTACTTTGGTATAGATATTAATACCTTGATGAAAGTTTACTAATTTCCTTATTTTGTTTTATTTATTTTTAGAGATGGTATCTCTGTCATCCTGGCTGGAGTGCAGTGGCACGATCCTAGCTCACCTCAGCCTCAACCTCCTAGGCTCAAGTGATCCTCCTGCCTCAACCTCATGAGTAACTGGGACTCCCAGTGCGCACAACCCTGCCCAGATAATTTTCAATTTTCTTTTGTAGAGATGGGGACCTCACTATGTTGCCCAGGCTGGTCTTGAATTCCTGGCCTCAAGTGATCCCTCTGCCTTGGCCTCTGAAAGCGCTAGGGTTACAGGCGTGAGCCACCATGCTTTGCTGTTTTCCTTATTTTAAAAAAATGCCTGTGTCCCTGGAGCAAAGAGAGAAGTAAAACAAACAAACAAGTCAAAGTTTCTGTGCTTTTCTAGGTCATCATGATTTGAATGTGGAAACAAAACTCTGAAATACTTTTTGTTTTGAATGAAATTCAGAATGGAGGGGCGTCTGGCATCTGCCTTTCCATACAGCCGACGGAGGGTTCCAGGAAAAGTCCACACATACTTGATTTTTGCCCCTGTTTGTATCTGGATCTTTGCCTCCTGTGGTCTGCACTAAGAGCCATGAGAATCTTCTTTCTCTGAGGTGTATTCTTACTGGGGAAGGGCCCACAGGCTCCATAATTTTCTTTGCATGATTTCCTGCAGTGCTTGAGCATTTAGCAAACAACCACCTCGATGTTCCTCTATGCTTTCGAGGTGAAATTCAACTCGAGATTTCGTCTGTGTCCTGGAGACCTGATGCTCTGCGTTAACTGTGTGTGTGGCATTCCCAGCACTTCAGAGCCACGGTGCTGAGCTGTCCTCCACAGTGGCTTCCATAGCGCAGGTAATTTACCCAATGGGACTTCAGAACCCGAGCAGACCCGTGAAGGCAGGGATGTGAAATATCTGAGGTTTTGACTTGGTTCCTGAGATAGGAAAGCCTTCTTTTTCCTCTGTAAGCTTCTTTTCCCTTTTACTTTTTTCAAGTTTCATTGTTGCTGAATAGGTTATCTGCAGGTCAGTGGGTTTACAGGTTGTTTGGATTTCCTAAAATTGTGTTTTTCCCTAAACGTGGCACGAGAGATTGTTTGCAGGCTGCTGTGAGAATGGGACGGCCCACTGTGGCCGACACAATGCTGCTATTTCTGTTTCTCTCTGTTGCCCCCAATGAAGGTATTTTAAGGCTCCCTGGTATTTAAGAAGACTAAAATCAGCAGGGAAAAATCCTGGACTTCTTCAGTTTCCTGCCAATTCTGCAGAGTTCAGAACCACTTTTATTTATTTATTTTTTTAAAAGAATTTTTTCCATGACATTCAAGAAGCCAGCTACATTTTGCAATACTTTTCTTTGTGATGAATAATTTTCCAGATACAGCGTGCGGATGAATTTCGGTTTGGATACGCAGGCCGTATGATTCCAGATGCAAATGCAGATGTTTATGAGTTCATGGAATGGAAGATATAAATGTCCTGACTTTGCTGTATGCCTTGAGAAAATTTAGAGAGGCAGAGAAAAAAACCCAACAACCCAGATTTGCTTAATTTCCTGCTTTAAGCATTTACGCTTTAAAGGAGCTCATTTACATAGTAAATTACATTGCTTGAGAGCATATGTGGGGAAATTTTGACCCAAAACTCTTTTCCTTTAATCTGCACATGCCGTGGTTTGTGAAAGTGTGTGTTCACATGCAGGATTACTTATCAATATGGAAGGCTTTAGTCCATGGACGGCACAGTTTCAAATAAACTTGACTTCAGTTAGCAACCTGGTAAATTATTATTCATTCTGAAAATCACACTTTAAAAGTTTATTTAGTTCTCTTACCTTAACAAAGGTAAAGACATTAAGTGAATTCATATAATTGTTTTGAGTTACCACTCAGAAAATAATTTAAAACTTAATAATTGCATCATGTAACAATCTTTCGGATCCAATTATTTGGGATGCTTTATATGAGAATAGAGGATTGTTTCTTACTATAAAATATAGAATGGAGTCACTTGAATAGGATTCTGAGGTTTTAATATTTTTATGTTTGTGATGCTGATGGGTCTACAAGTGAACATTCATAAAACTTTCATCTTTTCAGCAAATATTTATGGAACCATGGCTACGTGCCAGAAATCTTTACCAAGGCTGTTGACTCACGGGTGAACAAGGCTGATAACGTTTGCTGCCCAGCCTTTCCTGAGAAAATGTACGAGAACACTGAAGGATACAGGAGAGATGATGTTAGGGGTTAGATTTGGCCTCCCGGAGCTCATACGTTGAAGCCCTAACCTTCAGGACCTCAGGATGTGACTGTATTTAGAGATAGAGTCTTAAAAGAGGCAATTAAGTTAAAATGAGGCCTTTTGGTGAGCCCTAATCCAATTTAGATGCTGTCCTTATAAGGAGAAGAAATGAGGACACAGACACACAAAGAGGGAAGGTCATCTGAAGACACAGAGAGAAGACGCCATCTGCAAGCCAAGGAGAGGAGCCCCAGGAGAAACCAAGCCTGCCCACATGTTGGTATCAGACTTCCAGCCTCCGGGACTGTGAGAGGATGAATGCTTGTTGTCTAAGCCCCAGTGTGTGGCATTTGTTATGGAAGCCAGAGCACACTAATCCAGATAGAGAGCTGGCTAATTAAACAGAAAGAGGAATACTGCTTAAGGAGACTGGGTTGAATGACGGCCCACTGTCCTGTGCCAATAAATTGCGGAATTTTAAAAAAGTATGTGCAGAATAAATGCTAATGCTCGATGACTGTGCGTACAGTAAGTGACGCAGACATGTTACTGCTGCTTTTCTGCTACGCTTGTTAATATTATTATTTGCAAAACTCCTGAAGCATGGGGATGACGCCATCTGCTGGACCGTATCCTGCTCCCGTGCGTAAGGGCAGAGGGTAGAGGAGGCGCTTGATACTGATTCTAAACTAAATCATTCTTAAAACTGGAAGAGTCTGTCGTGAGCCACGGGAAGTTGTTTTCAAGTAAGGGGAAAGGGAAGTTTTGTATTATGAACACCGTCCACAGCATCTCTTTTATCTGGGAAGAAGCTGAGGTTCTGCTTTGCAGTCACATTTTTGTCCATGGTAAGTGGATAAATGTGGTTTGCATCATTCGGTGCCTTGGGAATGTCTTACGGGATATTTCTGGAATGGGCAAAGTTCAGCACAGTCTGGAGCCAAAATGTCCCCATTATTGAGCCAATATAGTTCAAACGTTTATGACCCATCTCCAGAATGGCGTGCACATGTGAGGGGTTGACAGTGAGGTGGAACATGTCCCCAGGAACGGAGAGAAAGCTGCGGAGAAGCAAGCGTGCTGTGTGGCTGCCTTGGACGTCCTTTCTGGTTTGGAAGCCTGCAGCTGCAGAAGGCCTCTGAGTGTGGAGGAGGCTCTTCCTGGTAAAGAATGCACCTCCCAACCCTGGTTGGAAGCCCCAAGGCTGTGGGAAAGCCCAGGCTCCCTGGGCCTTGATGGTTTTTTGTTTTTTTCTTTTTTTTTTCTCTTCCTGGATTCTGCCTTTAAGATCAAAGGAAGTCATCTAGCATAGTGTTCTCATGATGTGGTCTCTGGATCCCTGGGGTCTCTATGACCCTCTCAGGGGTCTGTGAGGTTGAAACTATTTCATAATAATACTAAGACGGTATTTCCCCTTTTCACCATCAGTCTCACATGAGAGTGCCCTTGGGTTTTCCAGAGGATACGTGGCGTGTGAAGATATTGCATGATGGCTAGTGAAACATGTGCTTGTGTGTTCTTATGTTCTCCAGAACCTTCTTAGTAGGGTTGATGTGTTCCAGGCACATTTTCAGAGATGAACTCAGCTTGTTCTTAGTACCTCCACTGCATTCTTGCGGCCTGTCTTCCCTGTGTCTACCATCATCTTTATAAGTTGTTATTTTGAAATCCAAGCAGTTTCTTTGCAACTGTGCAGAAACATGACACAAAGTAAGTATGATTTTTGTCTTGTTTCAATAGCATTCTCCTATTTTTTCTGAACCCTTTTATAAATTTTATAATTCTGTCTAAAACTGTTACAATTCTAGAATCTAATATCTTATTCTAAAATAAAATGAAATTTATTTATAACACATTTTTTGTTATATTTAAGGATGGGTCATGGACTTTCCAAAGGGACATCAGAAGATTTGCTTTCTCAGTGTGCAGCATCTCATGTGTAAAGACGCCAAAAAGGACAGAATTGCTGTATCAGAGCATTCTCTGGGTTATGAAAGGAGAAGTCTAATCCCAAGAAACTGTGTGAAATTGTAAATAGGCAATGAAAATGTGATGGGCGTCAGCTCTATAGGCGTTAAGAATTTACCTTATTGTGTCTTACACAACAGAAAAAATTCCAAATTATATTATGGTGCTAGTTAAATTGTGATATTATTTTTGGATAAAACATTCAGAGTTTAAGAAAAAAGGGAATTGAGTATTTTAAGCATAGACTTGATGAGCTCCTTAAAAACCCCAAAATTGTATGGCTTTTCAAACTAGACATGACAGAACCGCAGGAGCATCTTATGGAGTAAGTTACCATATTGCATAGGCTGGGTGAGAACACAACAGCTGAACGAAGAATGGGGCCCTGTAGAGCTGGCTTTGCTGAATGTCTACTGGTTGCAAAGTCAGCAAAGAAGTCGTGGCGCTGCCACTGTCCATCAATACTGTGACCTGTTGAATGAAAGCCTCAGCTGCAAACATGAGGACTGTATTAATATCTCCTCTGCACAATTGTACTTCTGGCTTATAAACGGAGGCTGGACTTACTGCTTTTCTTTTTTTTCAGATTGGGTTTCACCATATTGGTCAGGCTGGTCTCGAACTCCTGACCTCAGGTGATCCACCGACTTTGGCATCCCAAAGTGTAGAGATTATAGGTGTGAGCCGCTGTGCCCAGCCAAATTTCCTTCCTTTTCTTAAAAAAATTATACTTTAAGTTCTAGGGTACACGTGCACAATGTGCACATTTGTTATATATGTATACATGTGCCATGTCGGTGTGCTGCACCCATTAACTAGTCATTTACATTAGGTATATCTCCTAATGCTATCCCTCCCCTCTCCCCGCTCCCCACAACAGGCCCCATTGTGTGATGTTCCCCGCCCTGTGTCCAAGTGTTCTCATTGTTCTATTCCCACCTATGAGTGAGAACATGCGGTGTTTGGTTTTCTGTCCTTGTGATTGTTTGCTCAGAATGATGGTTTCCAGCTTCATCCGTGTCCCTACAAAGGACATGAACTCATCCTTTTTTATGGCTGTATAGTATTCCGTGGTGTATATGTGCCACATTTTCTTAATCCAGTCTATCAATGATGGACATTTGGGTTGGTTCCAAGTCTTTGCTATTGTGAATAGTGCTGCAATAAACATACATGTGCATTTTCTTGTATTCATCTCGTATCAGATCAATGATTCGTCAAAGGAGGCTTCTTTGATGGGTAACAAACACACACACGGTGCTGAAGTAGTCAAAGTGATGAAGAACTTTTTAGATGTCTTTTATTCTGTGTTGACATTTACACCACTGTGCACGTGCGGTGGTGGGTCAAACAGCTGTTGTCTCACCACACATCGAGGCAGTGATACCAAACGGTACTGTACTTGTAACCACTGTGTTCTTTGCTTCTTTGCTGTCACACACTCACAGTCAAAAAAAGGTCGGCTTTCTTGAAGAATGTCTTGGTGAAAAGGTAGAAACCACTAATTTTGTAAAATGTTGGCCCTTGGTTACGTGTCTTTTGAGTATTCTGTGTGATCAAGTGGGAAGTATACATCAATCCCTTCCACTGCATATTCAATTACAGTGGCTGCTTTGAACAAAGCATGCATATCGTTGTTTAAATTGCCAGCTGAATTTAGTGCTTGTTTCATAGAACACCACTTTCACTTGAAAGGAGAACTGAAAAACTGTGGTTGTTCTGACTGAGGTGGTTGGTGGGCTTTTTCTTTAAAATAAATGAAGTGAGCTTGTCGCTTCAAGGGAAACAAGAAAACATATGGGCTTTCTAGTAAAAGTTAAAATTCTGGAAAACCTGGGCCAGGAGTGGCGACTCACGCCTGTAATCCCAGTACTTTTGGGAGGCTGAGGTGGGGGATTACTTGAGGCCAAGAATTCAAGACCAGACTAGGCAACCTAAGGAGACTTCATTTCTACAAAAGAGAAAAAAGGAATTAGTCAGGAGTGGTCGTTCACACTTTTAGGCTTAGCTACTCCAGAGGCTGAGGCGGGAGGATGCCTTGAGCCCGGGAATTCAATGTTGCAGTGAGCGATGGTGGTGCCTGGGCAACAGAAGGAGACTGTCTCTAAAAGAAAAAAAGAAAAAGAAAACTTGTATTTCCCACTGTGAGCTTGACAGATTCCCAAAATCTTAAAGAATTTTCAGCCAAAATCAGTGCTGATATTAACAAATACTATTGAAAAAAATGTTGTGTTAATTAAAATGTGTTAAATGTAGAAAATCTGTATGCTTCGATGAACCAATTTTTCCAAGACATGCATGTTACAAAATCATGCAACATTGACAAGTAAATTTTTATGTAACAGAGTTAAAAACTTCATGATATGGTTTCAGATTCCACATTGTAACTAATCTTTAAGAAATTTACACTTGTGAAGTTTTGATGTAGGATCAAAGAATATCCACAATTATCTGAAAAGGCGATAGAAACACCCCACCCCATCACCTTTCCAAATACATATCTGTGTGAGGTTGGGGTTTTTTAATATATACCTGAAGCAAAACAACATATTGCAGCAGATTAAATGCAATACAGTTGTGACAGTATATCTTCCATCAAGCCAGACAGTAAAAAGATTTGCAAACATAACAAACAATGCCACCTTTCTCACAAATTTGTTTTTAGAAAATATATCTTCTATAAAATATTGCATTTATATTAATACGTAATGAATTTATTTTTGTTATTTTAACATAAGCTTATTAATACATGTTTAAAAACAGTTTTAATCTCAAATACAGTAAAAATGGGTAGGTATAAACCACTCGCATAAAAGCTCTCTGAGGTCCTCAGTTTTTTTGTTTTTTTTTTTTTTGAGATGGAGTCTCACTCTGTCACCCAGGCTGGAGATGAGTGGTGTGATCTCAGCTCACTGCAAACTCTGCCTTCCGGGTTCAAGCGATTCTCCTGCCTCAGCCTCCCGAGTAGCTGGGATTACAGGCACACATCGCCATGCCTGGCTAATTTTTGTATTTTTAGTAGAGAAAGGGTTTCACCATGTTGGCCAGGCTGGTCTCAAACTCCTGACCTCAAGTGATCCACCCGCCTCAGCCTTGGATTACAGCTGCGAGCCACTGCACCTGGCAGTGTCCTCAGTTTTTAAGGGTGCAGAGAGGTCTTGAGATTAAAAAAAAATTGTGAGAAACACTGCTCTAGAATTTTGACTAGACGAGACCAAGTCTAGCCATGATAATTTCAGGAAACTGATTTATCTTTGAGCAATCTCTAACTTGTCTTGACTCAAACCGGTCAATTCAATTCAACCAGTGTATTTGATATCTACTAAGTTCCCATCATAGTAACTGATGGTACAAAGCCAGAAGTTTGAATTCAAATTTTAAGGAGCTATGAAAAAGGGAGAGTGGCCCTTGGACCTCAAGAGAGAACAGCTGACCACTTTAAGCATTTCAGGGGCAGCACATGTGGGCACACATTCAGGCAGGTCGATGTGTTGGTAGTGGCAAGAGGAGGACTTCCTTTTTGGAAGGCTTCTATTTTACAGTGAGAGTGAAGAGCTGGGTATAGAGGTTTAAGAAAAGAAGAGGTATGAAGTAGTCTTATTTCTTGCTTTTTCAAATTACTCAACCCATATTGTAATGATCTAAATGGACATTTCAAGATACAGATACTGTAAACAAAAAGGGAGCAAAATCTGTAATGCATAAGCTAGATAAAGGGTTAATCCATCCAGTGTACGAAGAGCTCTCACACATGGTTAAGGAAAAGACAAAAACCCAATAGGAAAATAGGCAAAGAATACAATTTGGGAATTCGTCGTTGGAGAAATCCAGATTATACATAAATATGAAAAGAAGTGCAATGAAAGAGGGAAATGCAGTTTAAGTAATAATGATATTGTTTTCACCCATCTGCTTGGCAAAAATTAGATACAGTGGGACAGACAGAATTCAGAGAAATAAAATTTTCAATAGACTTTTTTTGTGAGTGTGAATTAGAATATCACTTTTGGAAAATAACCTGGCAATATCTAAAATTCAGGAAAAAACTCCTTAGAACTTTGACACAGTCATCTCATGTTTGGGAATGTATCCCTGAGAAAGCAAATCTCCAATTTATAACAATACATGTACAAAGGTGTTTATTTCTGCATTTTTCCTTTTATTGAGATAAAATAAAAGATAAAAAAAAATTGTGAGAAACACTGCTCTAGAATTTTGACTAGACCAGACCAAGTGAATTCTATAATCCCAGCATGTCTGTAATCCCAGCTATTCAGGAGGCTGAGACAGGAGAATCGCTTGAACCCATTCCATAGAATTCACATTCCATAGAATTCACCCATTTAGAATATACATTTATATATTGTAGTCTTACAATAAAGTAAGCTACAGAAAATAAGATGTTATTAAGATTGTAAGGAAGAGAATATATGTTTCCTATTCATTACCTGAAAGTGGATCATTGTAAAGGTTGTCACTCTTATTATCTTCATGCTGAGTAGGTTGAAAAGGAGGAGGAAGAGGAGGAATTGGTCTTGCTGTCCTGAGGTGGCAGAGCTGGAAGTAAGTGAACCGGCACAGTTCAAACCTGTGTTGTTCACGGGCCAACTGCATTCACAAAGGTGTGCAACCACCATTACTATACACTTCCAGAACATTTTCTTTTTTATTTTATTGTATTTTTATTTTTTGAGGCAGAGTTTTGCTCTTGTTGCCCAGGCTGGACTGCAAAGATGCGATCTTGGCTCACCGCAAGTTCCACTTCCCAGGTTCAAGCGATTCTCCCGTCTCAGCCTCCTGAATAGCTGGGATTACAGACATGCGCCACCTCGCCCCACTAATTTCTGTATTTTCAGTAGAGATGGGGTTTCTCTATGTTGGTCAGGCTGGTCTCAAACTCCCGACCTCAGGTGATCCGCCGGCCTTGCTCTCCCAAAGTGCTGGGATTACAGGCGTGAGCCACCGTGCCTGGCCCAGAACATTTCCATAACCCCCCAGAAAACCCTGTACCCATTAGCAATCATTTCCCATTTCCCCTGCCTGCGGCCCCTGGAAGCCACTAACTGACTTTCTGTCTCTGTGGATTTGCCCATACCAGACATTTCATTTAGATGGAATTAAACAATATTTGGCATTTTATGTCTGGCTTCATTCATGTGGTATAATGTTTTCAGGGTTCGTTCATGTTGCAGCGTGTGTTGGTACTTAATTTTTTTTTTTTTTTTTTGAGACAGAGTCTCTTTCTTCACCCAGGCTAGAGTACAGTGGCACGATCTTGGCTCACTGCGAACTCCACCTCCCAGGTTCAAGTGATTCTCCTGCCTCAGCCTCCCACGTAGGTGCGATTACAGGCACAGGTCAGCACACCTGGCTAGCTTTTGTATTTTTAGTAGAGACAAGGTTTCACCATATTGGTCAGGCTGACCTCAGGTGATCCACCCACCTCGGCCTCCCAAAGTGTTGGGATTACAAGCGTGTGCCACTATGCCTGGCCCTACTTCATTCGTCTTTTTTTTTTTTTTTTTTGAGACAGAGTCTCACTCTGTCACCCAGGCTGGAGTGTGGTGGTGTGATCTCGGCTCACTGCAAACTCTGCCTC